CTGTAACCCTAACCCCAACCGTATCCATAACCCTAACCCTAACCCTACCCCTACCCATAACCCTAACCCTAACCCTATTTCTAACCCTAACTCTAACCGTATTTGTAACCCTAAGCGTATCGCTAACCCCAACCCTATTATGATAACCCTACCCCTAACCCTACCCATAACCCTACCCCTAACCTTACCCCTAACCGTATTTGTAACCCTAAGTGTATCGCTAACCCCAACCTTATTCTCATACCCCTAACCCTAACCCCAACCCTTATCCTAACCCAAATCCTACCCATAACCCTAACCCTATCCCTAACCCTACCCCTTACCCTATCTGTAACCCTAACCCTAACCCCAACAATATTATGATGACCCTACCTTTAACCCTAACCCCAACCCTATCCCTAACCCTAACCCCAACCCTAATCTTACCCATAACCCTAACCCTATCCCTAACTCTATCCATAACCTCAACCCTATTCTCGAAACCCTACCCCTAACCCTACCCCTAACCGTATTTGTAACCCTAAGTGTATCACTAACCCCAACCCTACCATCATAACCTTACCCCTAACCCTAACCCCAACCCTTACCCTAACCCAAACCCTACCCATAACCCTAACCCTAACAATATCTATAACCCTAACCCCAACAATATTATGATGACCCTACCTTTAACCCTAACCCCAATCCTATCCCTAACCCTAAAACCAACCCCTAACCCTCACCCCTAACCCTACCCCTACCCCTAACCCTATCTGTAACACGAACCATATCGCTAACCCCAACCCTACTATCATAACCCTACCCCTAACTCTAACCCCAACCCTGACCCTAACCCTATCCATAATCTCAACCCTATTCTCATAGCCCTAACCCTAACCCCAACTCTAACCCTACCCATAACCCTAACCCTACCCCTAACCCTATATGAAACCTGACACTAACCCTGTTATCATAACCCTACCCCTAACCCTAAGCCTATCCATAAACTCAACCCTATTCTCCTACCCCTAACCCCAATCCTAACCCTAACCCTACCCCTACCACTAACCCTAACCCAAACTCTAACCCTAACCCTCACCCTAACCCTAACCCTAGCCCTCACCCTAACCCTCACCCTAACCCTCAC